GTACTGCAAAAAAAAAAAAAAAGCCCAAGCCTGATTCTAATTAACTGGTCTGTGGTGGGACACAGGCATCTGTGGTTCGTTCAGAGTTCCCCAGGTGATTCTAATGTGCAGCCAGGCGATAGCACCCCTGGACTGGATGGTCTCTAATAGTTCGTTCCAGTTCTAAAGTTCTAAGATTCTAAGAGAATGGTTAGAAGAAGATAGAAGGGAGAAAGATAAAAGAAAGGGGAGAAAGGAAGAGAAGACAGGATGAGTGGAAAGGAAACAAGTGGCAAAGAGTATTAGATTCTCCTCTTCTAAAGAGTAAAGGGACCAGGGGACAGAAATGTCATCACAGACCATCTAGCCTCCCCATTATCACAGGCAGTCCCCACACTGGAGGCCCTGACACAGGGGTCCAGGAGCTGTGTAAGCACCACATCTCTGAAGCCAACTGGCTTCCAGATGATTCATAGGGATTCTCATCTGCCCACCCCTACCCTAACCCTCTAACCCAGAGGTCACTTTATTCTGTATTTTCCCCCCTCTCACTTCCAACCCACAAGCTATTTCTTGTCCCTTCCCAGATAGTAACCAGATCACTTTAGGTGTCCTATATTCTCAATATCTAGAGAACAGGACAATCGCAAAAGCAGCACCATGTTAATGACTGGCATCTAATATGTGCTGAATAAATATTAATTACAAGAAAGAATGAAATCACAATTTGAAATGAGACTGCAGCAGAGGAAATGACCCTTGGGGATACTTGGGGTGCCTCTGCTCTCTCCTAGGGCCTTAGACATCAGATCAAAGAGCGCTTCACACCTGGACAGCTCTGCCCACCTGGCCTATATCCCCCTCTTCCTCCACAGCCTCTGAAACCTCCCCCTCTTCAGGGGACACTCTGAAGGCACCTGGCTCAGAACCACTGCCATCCACGGAGCGGGGAGTCCCAGGGCTAAGCAAATGCAAGGGGGAGGTGGGCAGCTCCCCTGCTTCCCGATCCTCATTTTCTGCTTCACTTGACTCCTCGAGGTAGGAGCTGCTCTCACTACCCGCACTGCTGTTATAACTCCGGAAACTGTCGTAGCCACCAAAGAGCTCCAAGTCATCATCTTCCTCTTCCTCTTCCATTGGTTCTGAAGTCTCCTAGTGACACAAAAGCAGGCAGAAGGAATTATGGTTGGCTTAGTGTATGGGAAGGGAAGCTGCAGATCTGCTATCAACTCCCTTTCCAGTTCTTGGTCAAGTCAACACTTTTCCGCCAAGTGGCAGGCAGAATCAAATACTCCTTTTGCAAACACCTGGATCATTACTCTTGTTTATACATTTCTCAACTTCAAATCAAAAGAATACCTTAGCGGCTTCCCTGGCGGTACAGTGGTTAAGAATCCGCCTGCCAATGAAGGGGACATGGGTTCGAGCCCTAGTCCAGGAAGATCCCACATGCCGCAGAGCAACTAAGCCCGTGCACCACAACTACTCAGCCTGCGCTCTAGAGCCCACAAGCCACAACTACTGAAGCCCGTGTGCCTAGAGCCTGTGCTCCACAATAAGAGTAGCCCCCACTCGCCGCAACTAGAGAAAGCCCGCGCTCAGCAGTGAAGACCCAAGGAAGCCAAAAATAAAAACAAAAAGAATACCTTAGCAAGACAGAAAACATGTATTAGGAATTCACCAAGGTCCCTCTGTGGATTTGTAAGTGATGACATTTTACCATAATTCAAACAGAATACACTGATGTGAAAATATCCTAAGCAAAGTGCCTCATGAAGACTTTCTGGGGAAGATGTATTTTAGAAACTCATTCTTCCCCCTACAGCATATGTACCCCAAAGTAGTTTCAACTCAAAAACAACTTAAATCAGACAAAAGTTAATTTGGGGCCCAGACTGCCCTAAAGAGGATTTCGGAGGCTAATGACACGCTAGCTATAGCACTGTGGTATATACAATAGCTTTGGACTCAGCTCTGATCCTAACTAGCTGTGGGTCCTTGGGCAGGTCATTTAACCTCTCTGGGTCTCAATTTTCTCATCTATAAAACAAGAAAAATATTTGGCTCCAGGATGTGGAATGTAAATGAGATACTGTATATAAATCTACCTGGCATGTTATAGAAAAGGTGTGAAGAATTTGGGCTCTTGGCCAGGGGTCCAATACCATCCCCACTGCTTACTAGTTACTACCATCCCTACCGTATGACCTGCAGCAAGTCAATCTCAATGCCTCAATTTCCGCACCTGTAAATGAGGACAATTCCACCTATTACATAGGCTTTGGGGGAGAAGTAAGGGTTAATACGGGCAAGGCACTCAGAACAGTGACTTGCACACAGCATGTGCTCAATAAATGTTGGCGATTATTACTGGTTAAAAGCATGGGCTCTCAAACCAGGTACACCTGAGTTTGAATCCAGAGTCTTCCACTTACTACCTGTGTGATTTTGTGCAAGATATTTAACCTTACTGCTCCTGGTTTTTCCATCAGTACAATGGAGATAATAACAAGCCCTCTTTAGAGGACTGCTGTGAATGCTAATATGACATGCAAAGCCTAGTTCCATTTCCAGCAGTTAGTGACAGCTCTAAAACTGTGAGCTGTCATTCTTACTCTCCACTGTATGATTCTTTTCTTTTACCCTTATAGAGTTTTTGAGCGATTCCACTTTATATTTACAACTACACATGCAAATGTGCTAGAAAGGAAATTCAAATATAAGGTGACCAGAAGCCAAATGATTAAAGGATGCGTGGGTTACAGGTGGTGGTAGAATGGAAAAAGCAAACCTGGTAGAGTTTTGGAACTTGACGGACTTAGTGCCCATCTCCTTCACTTTACAGTCCTGTGACCCTCCTGGGGAGTCGCACCACCCCTCCAGGCCTCAGCTACCTGAACCACAAAACGAGACACTGGGCTGTTGAGTATACTGGGAGATAATGCACGTGAACGCTCCGGACACGGAGGGTTTATTAAACTTTAATCATCCCTTACTTCCCACCAGGATGTGACAGGCCTCATAGTCCCTAAAGAACACCACCATGAGACAAGGAGGAGGAGGAAGATTCAGGAGCTCTCAGATTCTGAACCCAATTCCCCTTCCCCAGGCCAGGGAGGCTGTTCCTCCCTCAACTACTCGGCCCCAGCAGAACCGGAGCAAAAAGCAACGCCAATCGCCTCGGGCCCTGCTCAGCCTAACTACCTGTTTATCCATCCTTCCACCCTCCACCCTCCAGGCGTCGCTCAAAGGCCTAAAGAAGGGCCCACCGAGCGGGGCTCTCGGGGTTCCCTTTCCCAGTCACGAGAATTCCTCTCCCTCTCACCTCGACGCCCCGGGGCTTCTCCATGAGACCTAACAGTTTCTTCAACCGTCACCAGGTGCGGGAAGCCATATTGGCCTCGTTGCTCTCCCCGAGCGCACTCATTGGCCGCCTCCCAGAGCCGCGGGCCAATCAAGCTGCAGGAAAGAGGTAAAGCCGGTTCGGCGCTCCCCTGTGCCCCTCCTCCCCGGGAGAGAGGGAAGCCGCGGACCTTATGGGACTTGTAGTTCCCCCTTGGGTGCGCTTGAAGTGGGGGTCGTTGCTATAGCGACGTGAAAATTTCCCCCGGCCTTAGAGCTGCGGCGGCTCGCGCGGACTGTTCTCGTTTCTCCACGCCAACCTCTTGCTATCACTCCAACTCCATTCTTCATTAAAGTTATTGAATACCTAAGATAGGTACTGTCCAGGCGCCAGGAATAACCTCGCACTCCCCCTGATCAGAATTTAAGGTGCCCTAGGGCGGGGATGCTAGCAGAGAGACTCTTTTCCGGTTCAGGCAGAAACTGGAATACTCTTATGCCCAATGCTGTAAATGTCCCGCATGCTCAAAATCCTGCAAAACTCCCTCTTACATCACCATCTCCTGAAAAAAAACTCAGATACGTGGCTCTCTGCCTCTTTCCTCTTGGATTTCCCACAACCTCCTTACACACTCGGAGTTCTAGGTGCTGTCGTAGAGCTTTACAAACATCTCAAATCAGGGATAATCAATCACCCTTTTAAAGATGAGGATGGACTTCCCTGGTGGCCAGTGGCTAAGACTCTCTGCTTCCACTGCAGGGGTACAGGTTCGATCCCTGGTACAGGAAGTTCCACATTCTACAGTGCGGCCAAAAAGGAAAAAAAAAAAAAAAAAAAAAAAAGAA